CAAAGGGGATGAAAGGGTTAAGTGTAGCGGAAGAATGAATTTGTTCATTTGTTTTTAGGCGTGTCTGACTCTCCATGATCCCATCGGGGATTTTCTTGGCAAAGATACTGGAGTGGATACTTCAGTATAGTACATATTATCTCTACCATATTATCACTAGGATCTCCATACAAAGATACTGGATACTTCTCCAGCTCATTTTACAGATGAGGAAACTGAGGCAAACAGGGTGAAGTGACTTGTACAGGGTCACACAGGTATAGTGTCTTAGGCTGGATTTGAACTCAGGTCTTTTGACTCAAGGACTGGCACTCTATCCACTTCATCATCTAGCTGTCTGATGAATTTGTAGTCACATATATTATGTGAACATAGCCAACGAGGGAATTTGTTTTGCTTGACAGCATATTTGTTATAAGGACTGTGCATGTAAACACACATATAGGTATGTACATACATACCTATATGTAGGTAGGTATTTACTTATACATACATAATATGTGTATGTATACATACATAATGTATAATGCCAAAGTCAATGATTTAAAAAATCCTTTATCTGAAATCTACCTTCCTACAAAAACTTCACTTGGAAAATATCACTTTGAGATTTCTGTTTAAATTATTGTATAGCCCTTGGTGCCTCTGACATTCTCCATGTTTTCTCAATCTCCAACCATGACCCAAGAAGTACAGTTAAAAATGTAGTATCCTGGATTTCTATTCATTATTGTCATGGTAACATTAGACTGTGAGTCCTTTGAAAGTAGAGACTGTTGTTTTGCCTTTCTTTGTATCCCCGGTGCTTAACACAGGGCCTGGTACATCGTAGGTGCTTAATAAATGCTAGTTGGCTAATTGACATACCAAAACTCCCTAGTCCCATGACCTAAGGATTTGGAATATGCATGTGTGTATGTAGACACATATGTGTGTCTAGTCTCATTCTGTGCTCTGAATGTATAATGTCTCAATCAGAAGATGGTTAGCATGTGTTTCATCATTAGTTCTCTCAACATCATGAATGGTTATTACATGATCATTGTTCTTACAATTTTCAAAGTTGTTTGTAGCTACAGTGTTGCTGTTATTGTATAGATTGTTCTCACTTTGTTAATCGTTCATTTTTATAGATTTTTTTTGGATCAGAAGAAACTACTAGCCCTTTCATGTCTTTGGGCCACTAACTATCTTACTTAAAGAAAGATTAATGGGATGATTCCAAATGGGATGACTTTATAGGCCAGACAAATCCGGAAAAGACAAACTAAAAGGATGCTCCATCAGAGTTTGTAAGTGGAAGTTGAAAGTTAGAGCCCATAACACTCACCGTAAATAATAGAGAGCTGCTACTGGCAGGCATTGCTTCTGGGTGAAAACATCTTCACAGGACTTGAAATGGTTTTCTGTCTGTATTATGCAGGGGTCAAGACCTTCATCTTGCTCAGCTCCATGACCAGAGGAAAATGAATCTGGTTGGGGTGGGGAGTGGAGTGGAAAAAAGGGGAGAACAACAGAATATAGGATCAGAAAAAAAAAGAGTACAGCCTCCATCTTGGTTTTCCTGATATATTCTTGCCACCCCACCCCAAGCCTCAACCCAGACCTCGATTGTTCTATCTCATTCTTGCCTTCACTCAACTGTCAAACAGAAGGAGCAAGAAAGGAAGAACAGGAATGGTAAAGTGAAGTGTCCCACACCACCAAACTCTCCCCAGATACTTTCAGAAGGACAGTGGTCTAGGTGAGAGGGTAAAAAAAAACTTAGCCCAAGCTTCTAAGATTCAAGAAGGGGCCAAGATCCTGAGTCTTATTTTCTTGTTATTAGAATAGGAAATGGGTCACCAGAGGGAAATGGAGTCATGCTTTGTAGTAAAATGAGTTCAAAAGGAGAGATCCCATACTGTTTTCAATTTTTGAGGACAGCAATAAATATTAAGTAGGAGATGGAAACTTGCCCAATCACCTGGAAACAGGGCAGGGGGAGGAGGTGGTAGGATGGATGTGGGGAGAAGTAACTGATGCTTTTTAAAGGCAGAGTTTGGGCAAAGAGAATAAGGGCCTCCATAAGTGATTCTAGGTCATCCTCCTACTTTCCACCCCTCCTTGCACTCCTCCCTCTCCCTATCTGGAACAATTCAAATTTCTTTCTGGCAAATAAAGGGAAATCCACAGACACTCACCCACAAAGAGAATGAAGAGAATGATGAATTTCATGGTTGTAGTCAGGATTCTCCCCTAGTGATAGGATGGGAGAAGATAGGAAAGCCCAGTCTCTCCCTCTTCTCTTCCCCTCCCCAATGGTACTACAGAGAAGTCAGTGGTCTTAGGAAGGAATTTTCTGCAGGACAGGAGCTGGAGTCTGAGCAGGGGGTTCCAGGGCTCAGAGTTTTTTTTTCCTTTTTCCCCAAAGTAGAACAACCCAGAGGCAGGTTATCTACATCTTTCCCCAGAGAAACCTGGTTTGTCTTGCCTCCTCATTACAGTTCCTCTCTAATGATAAGGGTCATTTGTACTATATGCACTGGCCCTTCTTTACCGTATTATCACTAGGATCTCCATTATCTACATCATCACTGTTGTCCTTAGCAACAGGTCAGACATTCCACAAGTACCTAGCAGAGTAACTACAATATGTGTAAGAATTGAGACAGATCAAAGTCAAGCAAGTTATTTATTTGGGGGATTTAAAGGTGTTTTCGCAGATATTCTGCAAAACAAGGATGGAGGGTGGGGGGAAATTCAGATTCCTGCCCCAGGTCTTCTAATAAATTACAGGGTGACTGCGGGTAAGATGTTCTCTAAATCTGTTTTCCCATGCTTGAAATTCCAAAGTCTAACTAGATGATTTCAAGAATCCTTTGTGTCAGATCTACTTTCCTAGGGAAACTTTACTTGGAAAGTATAACTTGGAAATTTCTATTATTATATAGCCCTTAGTGCTTCTGATATTCTCCATGTCTTCTCAAGGATCTCCAATCATAATTTGAGTACCATAACTAAAAATGCAGTATCCTGGATTTCTATGCATCATTGTCATGGTCACATTAGACTGTGAGGGTTTTGAAAATAAAGGGTGTTGTTTTGCCTTTCTTTGTATCCCCAGTGCTTAACACAGGGCCTGGCATATAGTAGGTGCTCAATAAATGCTGAGACTTTGCAGTCCCTTGACCTAAGAACTTGGAAGAGATTGTGCATATCCTAGAACTTACCCCTAAGCTCCCTCTATGCCCTGAGAACATAACTCCCACATCAGACTTGACTTCTTAGGATGCAGGAGGTAATGACATTTTCATGAAGCTTAGTGCCTTTGGAAAGATGGGCCCCTTTGAGGTGGAAGAAGGCTAGCTGGTAAACCCTGAAGGCATTCTTTTTTTTTTTTAAAGGCAGTCTGGGTTAAGTGACTTGCCCAGGGTCAAGCAGCTAGTCTGAGGTCAGGTTTGAACTCAGATGCTCCTGACTCCAGGGCCAGTGCTCTATCTCACTGTACCACCTAGCTGCCCCCAGGCAATCCTTTTTAAAAGGCAGGACAACTTTCTAAAGGAACCAACAAGGACTTAACCAGACCTCTCCAAGTTTCTGGCTTTGTCAAGCCCTTAGGCTTCTCAGTTACTGCCAGAACAAAGCCCTGCCTCCTTGGGAAACAGAGCCTCCTTAAGGAAGGACAGGGTTACTTGGCAAGTGCTAAGGATATCCTCTTACAAGACACAGCTTCACAAGGGAGCCTCAGTTGATAAAGCAGTCAGGGAGTACATCTCTAGTCCTGGACACTGCCTCTTCTTCCTGCTTAAGACTACTATAGCTTTCCTCATACATACACACACATCCCTATGTGAACTCATATAAACTTTTCTGTCCACTAAAATTTAGAGATTTTTTTTCAGAAGTGCTGTGGCCTGGCCACACCTCCTCTATCAAACATAACTCACCTTCAGGGTCTCAATTCAACATGTTTATTAAAAACCTAGTATGGGGCAGCTAGGTGGTGTAGTGGATAGAGTGCCAGGTCTGAAGCCAGAAAGAGCTTCCTGAGTTCAAATCTAGCCTCAGACATTTACTAGCTGTGTGACCCTGGACAAGTTACTTAACCCTGTTTGCCTCAGTTTCTTCATCTGTAAAATGAGTGGGAGAAGGAAATGGCAAACCCACTCCAGTATCTTTGCCAAGAAAACTCCAAAAAGGGGTCACAAAGATGTGATTGAAAAACAACTAAACAACAACAATGTGCCAGGCCTGATTTAGCCTCCTTTGGAAACAGTGACCTTGGAGACTTAAGCACAGAACCATTTCCTGCCTACAGGGACAGACACTGCAGTCTCCAGTATTGATTTGGATAACTCCTTGGACTCATGGGTTCTGGTCATAGTTGCACTTTCTTCATCTTTCCTCTGCCTTGGCTGAGCCTTCTTCAAACTCAATCTCTTACCTGATTGGATCTGTGTGTTATGTTCCTGCTCTTCCTAGTTCTGACTTCCTTCTCATCAGATGTGTGGCCTAAGATCAAGTCACCTGACCTTTCTGGGTCTCAGTTACTCATACATGAAATGAGAGGGAATTGGATTAAATGGTCTCTAAGGACTGTTCCAGCTCTAAATCTATGAGCTTGCAGTTCAACCTTTGTCTCGATAGATGTACATTGTTTGCCAGAATCTTTCTACATCGATTCCTTCCATCCAGGTCCACACAGCTGCCAAACACACCTTGGTGTGACACAGAGGGGGTTTACAAATAAAAAATAATATATTGGGAATTTTGGAGGGATCCTTCTCTTTCTACATGAGCCTCACTCTTTGACTAAGTCCAGGAGTTTCCAGATATTTGCGGTATTAAAGAAATGGAGTCATGAGAGTGACAAGGACACAGAAGTAGAGCCAGAGTTCTCTATTGGGACCCTGTTCTGTAACCAGAGACAGGATCAAAGTCAGGGCTCCATATCCCATAGTGTACATCGTAGGGACAGGGGGTGAGTTTCCAGTGGGATCAAAGAGATCAAAGGAAACTCAGTGTGTAGAGATAATCTTCTCGATCCAGGGGACATAGTTGTAGACCTTGGTGAAGATGCCAACATCCCCAACCAGGATACACCCATCAGTCCAGGACAAAATACCCTGTAAGAATCCACCACATATGGCTGGAGAAGCTGAGACTTCCTGTGAGAGAGAAAAGAAAAGAGGTCAAAGATATCCCTGGAGCTAAGTTCACCTCAGCCAATGAACAAGGTCAGTACCTGGTGCAGAGAAGCCTGGGGGATTTGGACTTAGGGTAATTTGTGGGCCCTGAGTCTCCAAGTATAATGGTTATTTTTAGGCTAGCCTTTTGGCCATCCCACCAACTGTTCATGTCTCCCCACTTTTCCTTAACTTATCCCAAGGGGAAATTAGAAAGCAGCTTAACCCAAAGACCTTCTATTCCTCCCCATTTCTACTTTCTTAAGGACCCCCAATTTGTAATCAAAGGCAGGAGAGGAAAAAGTATTATTCTCTGGGACCCATTCTCCTTCATGTTTCATCTCAACCACTAAGAAAGATTTCTATCTGAACAAAGAAGTCATGACAAACAATGACCAAGAAAAAAAGGACAAATGGAACCTGGAAGAATTACCAGACATTTGTATGATATTTCTGTCATAACTCCCACACAGAGTGTGTTCTTTGTGAGTTTTCCTGGATAGCTATAGACGCACTGACTGTTAGGGATCCAATCAGTTCTAAAGATCTGTAGAATATCAGCATCTTGTTCTAAGAGAGAGAGAGAGAGAGAGAGAGAGAGAGATTTTCCTTTATATTTGGCTTTCTCTTTCATGCCTTCTTTTCTGTTATCTTCCTGATACCTATTTAAGAACAAGTAGAAGATATAACATAATGTAAGAATCGTCCCACTGAGTTAGCCTATCTAATTTGGCATTTGGCCTGACCGAGGGTAGTCAAAGAGTAGTTTGTGGGAGGTCTTGACTATGATTTTCCCCTTCCCCTCTACGGTTCTTCTTCATCAGATTCTACATCCTGACATGACTCACATCTGTCACATGTACCACTTATAAATGAACTCTTCCCCACATCCCATTGCAAGGAGCTAGAAAATTATAGAATCTTAGAACAGGCAGGGCCCTCAGAGGCCATGAAGGCCAACTCACAGCTGAACAAGAATTCCTTCTCACAAAATACCTCACAAGTGGCCACCCACATTTTCTTAGAGAATTCATGACTTGCCTAGGTAGCTCATTCTAATTATTAGGAAGTTATTCCTTAAATCAGGTTTAAATTTGCCTTTTGATAAGAGAACAAGTCTAATTCCTCTTCAGCTTCATAGTCCTTAAGCTTATAAGATCATGTATCTAAAGACAGAAAGGATTTCTCAGAGGCCATCCCTTATTTCATCTTTATTTTTTCCTCAGTTGAGGAAACTGAGCCCCAGAGAAGTTAAGTGCTTTATTTATGGTCACATGGGTAGTGAGCATCAAAGTTAAGTCCTTTGACTCTCAAACCAGCACCCTTTTCCACAATACCACACTGCCTCCTCCATTGCTTGCTTGAAGAGAAAATCTACCAGTTTACTAAGTCTTACCTATTCCAGGTTAAATATTTCCATTTCCTTCAATAGATGCTCACAGGGTACAATCTTTATTATTTATTTTTAAAGAGGCAATCGGGGTTAAGTGACTTGCCCAGGATCACATAGCTAGTAAGTGTTGGAGGATGAATTTGAACTCAGGTCCTTCTGACTCCAGGACTGGTGCTCTACCCCCTGAACCCCCTAGCTGCCCCTAATAGGGCACAATCTGGAAGCCCTTTACTGTTTGCCTTCCAGTGGATGTTCTCCATTCTGTTAATAACCTTCCTAAACTGTGGTTGCCAGAACTGAGTATAATGACCAAAGCAAGAGTGCCATTGAACTATTACTTCCCAAGACATTATGTTCTCTCTTAATGCAATGCCTGGATCAAAGTCATCTTTTTATTTGCTGTATCACATTGTTGAATCATATTGAAGTTATGATTTACTTAAACTCCCTTAGTTTTTTAGATGAATTTATTAGCCACATCTTCCCCAGCTTGTGCTCACTGAAGTTGACTTTTTGAACTTAAGTGTAAAATTTTACATTTATTTCTATTCAATTTCATCTTATTAGATTCAACCCAACAGTGCAGCTTCTCAAGATCTTTTGAGAGCCTGACTCTGTCATCAATGTTACCCTATCCCTCCCCAAATTTGTGAAAGACAGACCCTGTCCTCATGAGGCTTACATTCTACTGGGAATTCTGAAGGAGATGGGGAAAGAATGGGAAGTCAGCGGTTAGTGCTGTCATACAAGTCAACAGTAAAAATGTTAAACATAATAGGGTTTATCACTGATCCCTCAGGATAGAGAGTGGTGATGGAAAAAGCATTAGAATAGTTTAGGAATAACTTTTATACTTGTTTAATTATGCAACTAGTATAAATAATAATGATGTTCAGTCATTTTTTTTAGTCATGTCCAACTTGAGTTTTCTTGGCAAAGATACTGGACTGATTTGACATTTCCTTCTCCAGCTCATTTTACAGATGAGGAAACTAAGGCAAACAAGGTTAAGTGACTTGCCGAGGGTCACCCAGCTAGTAAGTGTCTAAGGCCAGATCTGAACTCAAGAATATGTCTTTCTGACTTCAGGCCCAGCACTCTATCCACTGAGCCACCCCAATAAATGATGATGAATATCTATAATCCTGGTACTGAGAAGGCTAAGGCTGGTGGATCACTTGAGTACAGAAGTTCTGAGCTAAATAAGATTAGTGTCTACGTGGGAGTGGGATTGTCTAAACAAGTCAGGAACCAATATAGTGTCTACCTGGAAGTGGGGTGGGATGAAGAGCACCAGGCTGCCTAAAGACAGGTGAACTGGCCCGGGTCACAGATGAAGTAGATCAAAGCTCCCATGTCAATCAGAAGTGGGATCAGGTACATAAATGACTGCTATTATTTCCAGCCTGGGCAAGAGAGGGAGATCCAGCTATCCCTTCACTCTACCTGCCCCTTCTAAAGTATTATCACTGCCACTTGTAATAAAATAATAACAATTATTATTATTATTATTATAATTCCTTATATTTATATAATGCTTATAAGTTTTCAAAGTGGTCTCACATCTATAACAACCCTATGACATAAAGCAGACATTATTTTCTCCATTTTATAGACAAGGAAACCAAGGCTCAAAAATATTAAGTGACATTGTCCACTATAATACAAGAAGGTTGGGGTAACCCCGGAGGATTACATATGTAAAACACTTTGCAAACCTTAAAACTTTATATAAATGATAGATATTAGTTATTATGGGGCTCAGAAATCCAGTCCTACCCCAATGAGTTTCCATTATTTCCCTATCTCCCTCAGAACATCCAGGGGAATATGAACCCTCTGAGGGCAGGGACTATCTTTCACTTCATCTTTGTATCCACTCCCTAGGACCTAGCACAGTGCCTGGCACACAGTAGGTGTATAAAAATACATGATTGTTGGATTGAACTGATTAAATTGGTCTCTAACATAAATAGCATGATCAATCTGATAGTCACTCACTGAAATTATTATCACTCCATGACCAGACTGAAAGGACACATTGTGTATCCATATTGATATCTTCAGGAGGCAATTTTACACTTTGAAACTTTTTTGTTAATTGAATGGATGTGGCCAGCTTGATCAGCATGATATCATGTTCAGAAGAAATGGAAGTGAAATTTGGGTGACTGATGACCTTTTCATAAGGTAGCTCTTGCTCAGTTGGCTGCTGGTCATTGAAGGTATAATCCTGCCAGATGATTTTGAGGTACCTAGAAGAAAAGGGAGAGGCTGAAGAGAAGGAACACATGACTGATAGTGTGCTTCATTGACAGACACATTTACATAATACATGTACACATGCATGAGCACATACACACAACAATGTATCAATCATTATCTTTTCCCATGAATTCCATCCTTTATCCTTCCATTTACCTCAATTCACTTATCCTCTCTGCCCTCAGCATCACCTGAAATGGGAGCTGAATCCCTCTACCTCTACTTTCTAGGATGAGTCAAATCAAGGACTTATCTGACACAGAGAACCCTTGTCCTCATGCAGTCTGGATTCCTGTGGGAGATCAAGACATATGGTGGGAAAGTCTATCTGAATGGGAGCATAAAGGGAATGTTTGACCACTTGACTTTATAGAATGTTAAGAGATAGATGAAGCCTTAGAGATCCTCCATAGAGAACCTAAAGCTCGGAATTAATTACTAGTTTCCTTCCAGATTTAGCTCAAGCACTGCCTTCCACATGAAACCTTTCCAGATCCCCATAAGTTTCTAGTGTCTTCCCCACCCAAAATTACCTTCCATCTATTTTGTATTGATTTATTTATACACATTTGTCTTCCGCAATAGAATAATATATACACATATGTTTATTTCGCCCAACAGAATATGAGTCCTAGAGGGCAAAGATAGTTTCATTTTTGTCTTCATACTCCCAACATTTGTTGATTGATTGATTACTAACCCTTTAGAATCAGACTTAAATCCTAGCATTAACCTGTCTGACCTTGGGAAAATCAATTAATCTCTATGGGGCTCCATTTCTTCATCTTTAAAATAAGTTAGCTAGACTAAATACTACTCTCTGACAAGAAAAACCCAAATAGGGTCAAGAAGAGGGACCGAAACAACTGAACAACAACAAACTATAGCTGAAGCCATATTGGGTAGGAGTTGAGAGGTGGGGGAGAAGGTGTAGACATTTGAACCTTGCCAAACCTGCCATTGCTGTGATTGGTCAGGCCACAGAGCAAGTTTAATGTAATGGGAACTGTGTGTTAATCAACTCCACTTCTCAAATGTCTTTACCCTCTGGAAAGAGTCTAATGGACTTTCTGAAGGCTGTAAATTTTCATGGTGAATATTAAAGGCCATCTGATAACCTACAGTCATAGTGCTTTGAGTGCTTATGTAAGATTTGAGGAAACCTAGGCACAAACATATATCTACGCTTGATTTTGAAGATTTCCCCCAAGGAAAACTCCAGGATGGAGGCACAAGCCAAAGAGACATAATGCTTTCTTTGGATCAAGTTCCCAGAATCAAAGCCAGTCTGTTGTGAGCCCAAACTCTTTGGGAAACTCTGAACCACAGGTGACGTCACACAAATTTTATTCTCTCTCTTCAAGCCCTAATGTTTCCCCTTATGTTTTTAGGTTTTGATCCTGCTTCTCTCTCTCTCTCTCTCTCTCTCTCTCTCTCTCTCTCTCTCTCTCTGTAGGAAAAATGAGACATTAATGCACTATTAGTAGAGTCAGGTGTGAATTGATTCAATCATTCTCTAGAGCAATTTGGAGCTATCCCCAAAGGGCTATAAAACCATGCAAGCCCTTTGACCTAGTAATACCACTACTAGGTCTGTATCCCAAAAGAGATAAAAAATGAAAAGGAAAAGGACCTGTATGTACAAAAATATTTATAGCAGCTGTTTTTCTGGGAGCAAAGAGTTAGAAATTGAGGGGATACCCATCAATTGGGGAATGATTGAACAAATTGTGGTATGTGATTACAATGGAATACTATTGTGCTATGGGCTGATGCAAAGTGAAATGTCTTGTGTGCAAAGGTCCAGCAACATTGTAAGATGCTCAGCTGTGAATGACTTGGCTATTCTCAGAAATGCAACAATCCAGGACAACTCTGAAGAATTTATAGTGAAAAATGCTATCCATCCCCAGAGGAAGAACTGATGGTGTCTGAATATAGATTGAAGCATACGTTTTTACTTTATTTTTCTTGAGGTGCTTTTTTTATTTATGTTTTCTTTCACAACATGACTATTATGGAAATGTTTTGCATGACTACATATGTATAGCCTATATCAAGTTGCTTCTCAATGAGGCAAGGTGGGGAGGGAGGGAGGGAGGGAGAGAATTTCAAACTCAAGGTTTTAAAAATGAATGTTAAAGATTGTTTTTACATGTAACTGGGGGAAAATAAAATACTAAATAAAAAATTTTAAATAAAATAAAATGTTAAGAAGAATCTATTTATAACCATCAGCAAGCATTATCTGTAATGGGGATAAGCTAAAAGCCTTCCTAATAAGATAAGGAGTGAAGCAAGGATGCTCATTACCACTAATATTATTCAGTATTGTACTTGAAACACTAGCAATAAGAGAAGAAAAAGAAATTGGAGGAATCAGAATGGGCGATGAGGAAATAAAACCAACTCTGCTTGCAGATGATATTATGGAATGCTTGGAAAATCCTAGAGATTCAACTAAAAATTACTTGAAACAATTAACAATTTTAGTAGAATAGCAAGACATAAAATAAACTCCACACAAATCACCAGAATTTCTATATATCACCAACAAATCCCTACAAGAAGAAAGAGTAAGAAATACTTCATTTAAAATAACCAGACTATATGAAATACCTGGGAGTACACCTGACAAACAAAACTCAGGAACTATATGAATATAATTATAAAATACTTTTTATACAAATAAGTCAGATTTAAATAGAGAAATATTCCTTATTCATGGGTGTGCTGAACCAATATAATAATAATGACAATTCTACCAAAAGTAATCTACTTATTCAGTGCCATTCCAGTTAAACTACCCCAAAATTATTTTATTGAGCTAGAAAAAAATAATAATAAAATTCATTTGGAAAAACAAAAGCTCAAGAATAGCAAAGGAATTAATGAAAAATGTAAAGGAAAGAGGTCTAGCAGTATCAGATCTTATACTATATGGCAATAATTATCAAAAACTATTTGGTACTGGCTAAGAAATAGAAGGGTAGCTCTTTGGAATAACATAAGTATACAATACACAGTAGTAAATGACTATAATAACCTTGTGTTTAATAAATATAAAGATATAAGTTTTTGGGATAAGAACTCACTATTTGGTAAAAATTGTTAGGAAAAATGGAAAGCAGTATTGCAGAATATGTATAGACCAATATCTTGGTCTATATTTCAACCAAGATAAGGTTGAAATAGATACATGACCTAGACATAAAAGGAAATATCATACATAAATTGGAGGAGCGTGGAACATATTACCTATCAGATATATGAATAAGAGAAGAATTTATAAATAAATAAGAGATAGAGAGAATTGTGGGATAAAAAAAGGGATAATTTTGATTACATTAAAATAAAAAAGTTTTGTGCAAACAAAACCAAAGTAACCAAATTTAGAAGAAAAACAAAATTGGGAGGGAAAATTTATAGCCAGTTTCTCAGATAAAGGCCTCATATCTCAAATATATAGAGAGCTGAGTCAAATTTATAAGAATATCAATCATTCTTCAATTGACAAATGGTCAAAGGATACAAACAGGCAATTTTTCAAAAAAGAAATCAAAACTAGATAGTCATTAAAAAATTCTCTATGTCTCTATTGATTAGAGAAATGCAAATCAAAATAATTCTGAGGTGCCATCTTACACCTATCAGATTGGCTAAAATGATAGAAGCGGAAATGACTAATGCTGGAGGGGATGTGGAGAAATGGAACACTAACACATTGCTGGTGGAATTATGAGCTGATCCAACCATTTTGGAGATCAATTTGGAATTATGCCCAAAGAGACATAAAACTATGTATACCCTTTGACCCAGCAATACCACTATTATATCTGCTTCCCTAGGTGATCAGGGAAAAAGGAAAGAAACATATACATTCTAAAATATTTATAGCAGCTCTCTTTGTGGTGGCAAAGAATTGGAAATTGAGGGGATGCCTATCAATTGGGGAATAGCTGGATTGTGATGGAATACTACTATGCTGTAAGGAATGGTGAGCAAGTTGGCTTTAGAAAAACATGATTAGATTTGCATGAAATAATGCAGAGTGAAACAAGCAGAACTAGAAGAATATTGTATATAGTTACAACAATACTGTTGGAAGAGTAACTGTGAATGGTTAAGCTGTTCTTAATAACATGATCATTCAAATTAACTATGAAGGACTTAGGAAGAAAAATGTTATACACCTTCAGAGAAAAGACTGATATATGTAAGTATGTATTGTATGGTTCCACATACATTTCTATACCAATTGTTGTCCTTTTGCATTGCAAGGTGGAGAGGGAGGGAGACAACTTGGGACTCAAAATGTAACAAAAAATACATAAAAATAATAATTAAAAAAAAGATATTCTTGCTTACTGGCTTTTCCAATTCCAATCTATCTTACACACTACTTTTCAATGTATGGGTCTGGTGGTGTCATCCCACTGCTCAAAAGCTTTCAACGCTGTCTACTAATCTTTCAAATAATTACCTTGCCTTGATATTTAAGAGATTTCATAATCTGGCTACAACTGTGCTATCCCATTTCTATCACATTCTTCCCTCACTTACTCTGTGCTCTAGTCAGATCAGATATTTGCCATCCTTGAATATGGACTGTATTTTCTTGCTTCTATACCTTGGATTCACTATTCTGTAATCTGCTATCCCTTTCTCTCTCTTCTCTGCCTATTGAAATCCTCCTGCCTATTATTTAAGATTTAGATTAAATGGCTCAGTGAAGTCTTCCCAAGCACCCCACCACACTCCATGCAGGAAGCAACCTCCCTCTCTCTCATCTAAACACAATCAGCACTTTGTTTGGACTTCTTTGAACTTAGTTCCCTTTCTTCCAGGATCACAAATGTTTACATGTGAATCTCTTTCCCTTTTTTTAGATTGTAACCTCTTTGAGGGCAGGGTCTGACTCTTATCATGTCTCTAATCCTTGCCCAAAATGTTGAAGAGTCACAAAGTTTCAGAAATTAACCTTCCTCCTTCCTACCAGATTCCCTTATCTGAAAAGATTCCTGAGTCTTCTCAGTTCTGCCAAGTGTAGGGAAATTCCAGGCAGATTTTTTCTTTTTATTTTCCTCCGAAATTCCTAGAGAAGAATGGCCCTGAGATATTCTCACTCACGGTAAGTAGCAATGAGCAGCTGTCACTATCCACTGAGGATGAATAAGAGTCCCAATGCAAGATTGGAAGCTGGATCTCAGGTAGACCAGGTAAGGTAAATCCATCTCATCCATGTCATCATAGAGCATTGGTAGGGCAACTAGAGAGCAAGAAAGAGACAGAGTGTTCAGGAGATGGAATACAACCAATTAAATCTATGATGGTAATGGAGATTGAAGAGTAATATGTACTATCACATCCAGAAACAATTAAAGTCCTTCTTCTTGCTTTAATTTTTCCTATTTCTATTACTGTCAGAGGTAGCATGAGCAAACTCTTTGTCTTTTCTGTCATTGTCTGAGTGTTCAGAGCTCTTTTGCATAGATTTAGAGCTAGGAGCAACCTGAGAGGTCATTTAATGCAATGCCTTCATTTTACAAATAAGAAAACCAAGACCCAGAAATGTCTTTCCCCTTACTCCTTTATTCCTCAATAGAATCATCATCACACTCTCAGGCTAGTCATCTTAAATTTAATAAAAACAACTTTACTGCAGGCATGAGGATACTGAGGCATGTGGACAGGCAATGAAGTGCATATGGAATAGATATATATATAATTTATATATACATATATAATTATGTAAATACATATATAATAAATTATATATATATATGTATATATATATAATTTAGGAGATGAGACAGTAGAGTGAAGTAGAGAGAACAATGGTCTGGGAGCGAAGAGATATTGGGTTCTAGTCTGTGCAATGGAATCTGTGCAAATAGCATCTTACTGTACTATCCTGGGCAAGTCTTTTTCCCTCTCAGTTTTCTCATGTATAATAAAATGAAGAGGTTGGACTAGTGGAAACTTAGAGTCCATGACAGCTCCAAATCGTATCTAAGTGACCCCTGGAGATTCCTTCCAACCCAAGGACTGTACTGTCCATCTATGCGAAGTGATGGAACTCTATGAACAAAAATAATTTCATTTCATTTCTGGATCCCTCTACCTAAAGTATTCCTGACCTATATTTTCCCCCATGACTCAAGACCCCAATTTCTCTTCTTTGTTACTTTGTTATGATTTTACTCTTGGGGCTAGGTTCAACTCCTGCTAAGCCCCACCAGCTAAATGGAAGAAAGCAACAGCTCTTGCCTGGTCATCAGATCCTATTTCTCACAAAGACTGAGTTACATGCTCTTGGCTAAACAATCCTGCTTATTAGAGAAGCAGGACCTTCTTGATCCAGGGCTTTTACCACATTTACTCGTCTTTTTCCTTAATTGCTCTCCTACTTCTCACCCATCTGTCTCTTCAGGTCATGTTAACTCTTTTGAAAGAGCTAGCATCATATAACCCTTGCTTTTCCATTACTAATCATTTCTTAACATTAAACAATAGTCTTTAACATATATATGTATACATACACACATACCTATAAATATATAGTCATTTAATATAGCTTATACTCCAAATAATCCTCAAAATCAATACATCTTGCTCATATCTCTTCCCTCAAGCCAACAATTATGTTCCTCTTTCTATCTTTTCTTCTTTTCACTGTATATGCTGAGAACATTGTCAAATTCCAATTGGAATTGGAGTCTTTGCTGACTTGTAGAATAGACCTCTGAGGTCATCAAATCCAACCCTCACCCAAATAAATTCCTTTTAATGTACATAGTAGAATTCCTGGAGATGCTTTTTTGAATATTTCTACTCCTCTCTAAGCCTCTCCCTCCTTCACTGTCCTGCTTTGAGGTCAGAGGAAAATCTTTGGGATCTGGCTATACCAAAGCCTATATTATACACAGAAACTGTGAAATTGAAAATTGATACTCCCCATTATTTTGTACCATTTTAAGGCTTAGTTGATTTACTATGTATTAGTGATCAACCCACCTTGTTTCGGTTGGCCCCCTCATTATGTAAGTTTGAGATCCTTAATCCTATAACTTGAGTTGCCTATTATGAAATTTGAAAATTGATATTCCAAAATTATTGGTTGATAATTGCATCTAATCAATGTATCTAATCAGAATCAATATTTGTGAATCAAATTCAGACTTGATTGTATAGTCTCTATTAGTAAAATTTGTGAGAGTTGAACTTCCCTATTCCAATGAGCTAAAGTCCAACCACAAAAATTCTCATCTGTGAGCTTTTGCTGACATAGGGAGGTGAGTGAATCTGGTAAATAAAATGTTTCCCCACCATGAGACTTTCCAGAGGATGTTAATCATAGGTTGTTGATCCGCCTGGGTAGGAACTGATATAAGCAACTACCAACCAATTGAAATATGTCTGCATAGTCACTGTGTAAATCCTATAAAAGAGTTGCTTTGCTTGTCAATTTTATCCTTGACTACTAAGGGGTCTTGGATCCAATTTATTAACATTTGCTAGCCATGCTAATAAATTTATCGTTCTTGAAACTTTGTGCCTCAGTTTCTCATTCTCACAGATTTTTATCATGACAAAGATACTTGGTTATTGCTTGTACTACATTTATTCTTTTTTCTATTAAACTTGCCAATACTCCTTCTGTCCTACCCACACCCATAAGATGCCCACAGTCACTCACCAGTCACTGACAGGAGATTGAAGAGGAGAATATATTTCATGATGATATTGATATCCCGCCCCAGTGAGACTGGGGAATTGAGTCCTCACACTGGCCTGTCCCCTACTTGGATGTTCTGGGAAACAGGAAAGGAGAAGGATCTGTTGGACTCCTAAGTGATTTTAGAACTAGATCTTTTAGGCTCAGGCTCTGGTTCCAGAAGGGACATTTATCAGTGCCTCTTCCAGGGTCGCCAGAGGAGAGGAAAACTAAGATGTAAGAGTCTACTTGACCTTTCTGCCTTATAGGCTAAAGATCTCCCCAGCCTGGAAGAAGCCTATCTTGATGAAGAAATGGACTCCAGGATTCAGTTTTCCTTTCTTTTTCCAGGGAAAGAGACTTCCCTAGATGAGGGTAGGTGGGTTTCCCTGAGTCCCTAGAAAGACAGTATCACTATGACCTCCTCCATGGTCTTTGCTTTTCTCCACAATCAATTACCCTCCCTCTCTGTTTCATTCTAACCCACCATGTACACACCCACCATGTCCTTTATGTGAAACAGACCCTCCCAAATATATGAAATTGACCCTGCCTGCCTGTGTGACATTGAACCCTCCCTTCTGTGTGCAACATTGAGACAGTGACCCCTCCCCTCTTTGTGTGACACCAAGATACTGAGACCTCTCCACTGAGTGACCACACAGGTCCAAGAGCACCAGTCATGAGGAAGGTGAAATTGTTCTCCTTTACACTAGAGGGCAGAAGTAGGAGTAATGTGTGGAAGTCACAAAGATGCAATTTTATGCTCAATGTAATTTTTTTAAAAAACTTACTAACAATTAGAGCTATCCAAAAATGCAATGGGCTTCCTGGGCAGGTTCCCCCTCCCTCAAGTCAAAGAAAAGCTGGATGACCCCTTGTCAGGTACATTGCAGAGAACATTCCCGTATAGCACAGATGGGACCAGATGTTCCTCCAACTCAGATTCTAGGATTCTTCCCTAGAACTATTTTCCAAGGTGCACATTTTCAATAAGAATCTGTTATATGTGATAAGTCATGAATTTATTTAGGTTCAAAGTCCATCATG